AAAAGAGAGCATTGTACAAATGAACAAAAATATATAGTTTTAAAAGGAATGAAAAATGAAGTTGTCACATTATCGCTTTTGAAATGATACGAAGCTACATTAAAAATGCAGAATGAAGAAATTTTGATGTTACATTCACTGTAATAGTACTTTCATAGACTATAATAACTTTTCAGCATTTGTTGAGAAGGATTGTATTAGCTTAGCATCGGTAGCTTAGTGGTCATGGTCTCGAACTCGTTGCCAGTTTATTTCTGTCGAGTTATGAGTTTAACTACTGATGCCACACTTAAGATACCTCGTGTAGAGGGTCTGAGTCACATTAAATCTCTCGAGGCTCACAGTCATCGTGGAATTCTAATTTGAAGAAGGGGGTTCCAGCTCAGGCGTCGTCCTTTTCCCTTGAACGTAGCTTACAATTACGAGATCCTTCACCAATAGCCCTCATGTTTTTTTTTTTTTTAACTTTGATATTAATAAACATTTAATCAATCAAAAGGGAACTCATTCTGAGATTTTTATATCATTTGCCAAGAGATTAAACGAGGATTGATTGAAAGAATGTTTCAAACATCTGTGGTTCAATTTACAGTTACTGGAATATTCATTGCATGAACTTTTATATTGAACGTTTTAATTCTGGTTTTTTTTTTTTTATAAAAATACGAGTTTACTCTTTGAAAAAAATAATATAGGAAAATATACTCACTTCCAAAAGTTAAGCACGGAGATGAAAATGTTAATTTCCGGAAGCCAATCAGAATTGAAGAGGATGCAATTCTCTGCAGAGGTAGATGGAAGTATGCAAATATGTTAGGTAACAGCCAATCGTGCTTTCATGTCAAGAAATATGCAAAAAGGGCAGTCTTATAAGAAGCCCAGCTTTATGAAGGGTTACAGAAGCTGATTTTAAGTGCTGATAGAAGGTGTTTAAAACTTTCGTACAATTTGTTTTCAAGACATACGTGTTTCTATGACTTCCAGAAAACGATTGGAAGATTCTGAGCCCTAGCGTGCTGTGGGGCACATTGAAGCAGGACAGTCGATCACAGATGTTGCTCTTTTCTTCGGCGTTCATCATTCTGTAATTTCTTGTTTATGGAAACAATTCTAAACCATACAGACAGTTGTCCGAAGGCCCGTGCGGGGTCACCCAAGGGTTACAACCCCCGCGGAAGATCTATATATTGCTATTGTATCCAAGCGGAATCACAGAGCGACCTCCAAATGTGCGACATCTATGGTTACAGCTTTCATTGGTAAGGCTATATCTGCAGCTACTGTACGCCCCCCGAAGATTACATATGAATGGACTGTATGCCCGGGTATCTCGAGTTTGTGTTCCTCTATCCGTCCAATCAAGAGAGGTACGATTAAAGTGGTGCCGGGAACATGGCAATTGGACTGTGTCTGACTGGGGCAATGTCATGTTTACTGATGAGTCAAGATTTGCTCTGGAGCCAGATGACAAGCGTATAAGGATATGGCGTAAACAAGGAACACGCAATCAGCCCCAAAACATCATCGAACATCACGCATTCAGAGGCGGAAGCACTATGGTGTGGGCAGAGATTTCATTAGGATACCGCACCGACCTGCACATCTTTAAACGGGGTTCTGTAACGGCTGTCTGGTATCGAGATGAAGTCGTAGAACCCATTGTGAGATTGTACGCTGCAGCAGTTGGCCCTACTTTTGTTTTAATGGACAATAACGCACGTCCCCATAGAGATGACATCGTCGATGACTACCTGGAGAGTGAAGGGATTGCGCGTATGGCGTGGCCAGCATATTCGCCCGACCTTAATCCCATTGAAACTCTTTGGGATGCTCTCGGTCGTGCTGTATCTTCACGTTTCCCACCTCCAGCTACTCTTATTGAGCTGGAAACTGCTCTACAAGAATGGCGATTGCTTAATTCTGCGGTGGTTGACCACCTAATTGAAAGAATAGTTAGAAGGTGTAAACTTTGCATACAGATGAGGGGCATCACATACCCTATTAATGTCCTTTTTTTCATTTTATGCTGTTTTTTTTTTCACTTTATACGTAATTCTATTTAAGTCTCCAGTATGACATTATCTCGATAACTTACAAAAATTTAATATTGTTTTCATTTCTGTATATAATTATTGATTTTGTTTTATGTATAAATGTATATGCTACTTTACTGCCTAATTTTGTGTCAATCAAAGCAGTATTTGTTGATTTTTTTGCATTTTACATCTTCGTGCTTAACTTTTGGAAGTGAGTGTATAAGAGAAGTGACATTTTGAAAAATTTTGATTGGAGCTAACCTTTCATTATGTAATGGGAGAGGAGGATTGTGTTTTCAACAAATACAGTTGCTAGTTTCGTAGATGGCAATGTACAAGTCTTATCATAGGTTTGCACTTCAGTTCCACCAAATATTGTGTTAAACAACGGGAGCTACTGTACATTAAATAAAACTGCGTCTGAAAAGCTTCACATAACATCATGTGTGAGAGAGGTATCAATTCACATTATTACTACAAAAATTACAATACAAAATATTATTTATACATGATCTATAAGTTTCTTTATCTATTAAATATCGCAATGATAAAATTATTATCATTTGTGTAGCATCAAATATTCATTAAAAATTTTAAAAGTAAGCATAAAATCAATAAAACATGAAAGATAAAGGTTATGGCCTAGACTGGTGATGTATAGCAATTTGTTCATTTCGGTTTCCGTTTTCGTTAATATCAGTCTCAAATTGCTCCGTTCAGTGATGTGCAGTCTGTTTTTTCTTAGACAGTAAAATGGCATTGGCCCTAAATCTCCACTTAGCAAAACGTAATGAAGGAAATGCAATTAAATTTTTTTACTCTTGTTTACAATCCAAGATAGAGATTTAATATTGATTTTTGAAGCCAGAAACTATAAGATGAAAAATTTAGACATTATGCATAAAATGTTTATTCATGAAAATAGTATTTTCAAAAAGTATTTTATTACAATAATTTCCATAACAGGTAAGTACGCCACGGCCACCTCTCTTGTATGTCTTAACATCCTGCTTTTTCCCCTCTACCACCCTCCTGGAACACTACAGTCCACCCACTGGAGAGCGATCACTCCCCCCTCCCTCCTCCCGTTGGAACCTGTGCACTAAATTAAGAACAAAATCCGTCACGAATAATCCAAGTTCTTGTTCCAGTAAACAAGATAATATAATATGAAAACGTCTAAAAACCAAAGGCTTTGTTTGTAACTTCTTTTTTATGGTTGGATCAATAAATAGCTGAAAAATTTTAGAAAGTAGCTTCAGTCTAAAAGTTTTGTGGAGTTTTTTTTTTTTTTTTTTTTTTTTTCTTCTTATTTTAAATTATTTAAATAAAAATAACAAAACCTGTTTCTCTCTCTCTCTCTCTCTCTCGTTAATGCTTTAAGCTGCAATTATTTCACTACATTTTATTTATATGGCTTGAAGCAATGACCATGCAAAAATTAAAACAAAGTTTTTACATATACTCAGTAATCATTTTGACATCATTGTTCTGAGATTTTTTAGCAAGCTGCCTATTTTTAACTAAAATATCTTACTAAAATATAATTCGACAAATGTAAAATAATTCTAAATTCTTTTTTTTATGCATGCCTATTATACGGAAAAAAATAATAACATTGTTAAGGGAATTTAGGGATAAACTGCGTGTCCTACCTTAAATTCCCTCGATATGTTTAGTTCAAAAGTAAGATATTGAATGTCAATATTCGAGATTGACTTCAATTAGTACTTTTAAAATTCTTTTGACCCTTCTACGTCTAGGGGATTCTTTTTTATTCCAACTTCTTTACAGATTTTCATCCTCAATATCTGGAACACATATTTTTACATTATCAATGCTTCACTTTCATAGAAGCATCATTAATAGGTACGAAATTATTAAGTGACATCTGTTTAGAATTTTTTTGAAAATGTTGTTACCCTTATTTCTCTTCAATCTAATAAATAGATTAACTAAAAAAACATCTATACTTCCGTACCGCGCTTTATATTTTAATATTTTAGCTTGTGTATGGATAAATAGATGACAAGATTAAGTAACCCATATCACCTGGCAAAAATTTAGATGTCATTGCTCTAATATTTTTTATTAATTAAATTAACTGATCTTAAGTAATCGAAATTTAATTATTTAAATCTGAGTTTTAAAAAAAAAAATCTATCATTACTCTGATTGTTTTTTGATATCTTACAAAAAAAGAAATTCTGTCTCCTAAATTTGACAGCTTATTCAAAATAATTATTTCCCCGTTGGTTAAAACGACAGTATAATATATAATATAATATAATAGTATAGTAGTATATATAATATAGACAGTATAATAGAACTTATGTTTTGTTATAGAGTCGATCAATTTCGTCAAATCAAAAGACGTTGCCAAATGCCGTGATATGCAACCAATAGCGGAAAACCGTTTCCATGCATAGTCAAAAAGAGTTATAAAAATACTGATGACAGCATTCGGCGACTTCAATTGGCAACATCTTTTGATTTGGCAAAATTGGTCGGGAGTATGTGTGTGTGTGTGTGTGTGTGATACGTAAGTACAAACATTATTACAGATAAAAACTATAATATTTACTGAAAAGCAAGCAGAAATATTTGTTTAGGAGAAATGTGTTTTCTCTGTATTCTTTCAATATTTTTTCTCTTATTTTGATCGATAAATTAAATAGAGTAATGAATGGATTTTCAATATCTGCCCTCTTGAACTTGATCTTAAACATACAAGTAATATAAAAAATTAAGTCAATTCCTACTTAGGTCAACAAAGAAAAAATTTATTTAATTTAATTTTTATTAAATAATTACAATTAATATAAGTATGTATATACATATGACAGAATCACATTATTAAGTGGCAAAATAGCAAGCGATTTTCCTTTCTATATATGGTGTTGAAATATTATTTTTGGTTGTTACTATTTATTCATTCATAAATCACATTCTCAGAAATTAGGCCATCCCAGGTAGGATTCGAACCTACGACCTACGGATTAGAAATCCAACATGCTATCCATTGCGCTACAGGGACACAACGAGCGATTTTTCTTTCTTTTTATGGTGTTGTTCTACTATTTTTGTTTGTTACTATTTATTCATTTTTTAATTTAATTAATGAATTAAAAAAATATTTGGAAAAATGTATTAACATCAAGTGTCATCCGCTACAAGTTTAAAATATGTATTTGAACTTGAGTAGATGAATAAAAACTATTTTATTAACGATTCAAAATTTTAATATGATATATAAATAGGGAGGGAGTGAACAAAAAAAAAATATACAGCAAAACAAAACTGAATTAAATACCTTTATCAAATTTCTAGTCTTAACGTAATTCTCTGTTGAAGATTTAAATGAATAACTTATGAGGACAATAACGAACTGTGATGTTCAAGTAATGTGATCTTATGATAACGTGTTTCTTATGGAGGCCGGTTAACAGCTGAAACCCTCTATGAGTGAGTTCACTCCCCTCAGGTGTTTCGGCACATTTTGCTTTCGGTAAAATCCTAGGAGAGCCCACACCCTTGGCGACAAACTGAAAAACGCGCCAAGCCAGAACGAGATGGCGCCAAGAGATACCGACAATGGCGGTGAGTATAGCGGGAAAAGGTGGATGCGTAATGAAAATATATATAAACAATACAGAAATTAAACATTTAAGACAAAAATTATAAAAACAGCACTTACTTTCTTACTGCTGATTTTTTTTCCAAGTGGAGGGTACAGCGTAACAGATTTTAAAAAGGACTTGAAGGTCTCATCGCTAAGCGAATGATCGTGTGAGCGCCGCCTTATTCTTCTGCGAGGTAATGGTCGAACATAACTTCGGCATGGCAGGTACGATTTCGAAGAAAACGTTTTATTGCCGACCTTGTGTTACATCATGCCGATCATTACATTTAGGACATTCAAAACTCTAAGCAATCAATCCTTCTTTCCTTCATACACCATTCAATCAATTATTTACCTTTCGCATTTAAAAAAGTTAAAAAAATTTTAAGATACATTCATTCACACACGCAGCCATACTTCCGGTGCCCAACAACAAAATGAAATTCGAAATGCCCGCCGACAAAATACGAAAATTCCAGAAATAGTTAGGTTTACCACATCTAGTGTATCAAAGTAGAGTTACCAAGATTGCGCAATTAACGCCCACCAAAATAATTCGCGCCAAGGCTGTGGGCTCTCCTAGGACCGAACCTTGCTTTCAAATGCAACATTAAACAAATAATTTCTAACTTGTTTTTTCTTTGTAATTTGTCTTTCCCTTCTTCTAAATGTTTTGTTTGTTTTATTTTTGTAAGCTCCGTTGATAATTGTGGTGCACAGGAATTATTTTATCAATTTTCAGTTAAAAATTGTAAAAAAGATTCCCCTTCAATATTTCTTCTTTACCTATTTATGAAACAAAGACAAGGATCTAATGAAAAATATCTCCTTTTTACAACACCACGAAAACAATTTTTTTTTGTGTACCACACACATATTTCACCTTTACTGTTTACTACATAATTATGAGAACGAAGAATCAAGTCTTTTTTTTTCTGCCTTTTTTTATTCATTGTCAATGAAGCAAATTTTCTTGCCCTACATTTACGCATATTTTTTTTTTTTTTCTTTTCTGTTTACTAAGATAAATATAATCACCAAAGAAATGGTATTATTTACATACGAGGAAATACCAGATAAGAAAATTAATTGAAATATTCAATTTAGAGAAGAATGCAACTATTAAGTCATCAAAAAAGGAAAAATTTTCATAATTTTTAAAGAATAATGAGAAGGTGATTGTCCTCACCATTTTCTCGTCCCAATAGCTTTTTATATATTATGCAATGCGATACTAAATGAATTCTACCGATGTAATAGAAAAAAATCTATACTTATTTATATCTTCCGCGTTTGAACCAAGTTCGAAAATCATGTGTGGTATAAAGAAAAGAAGTAGTGTATTTATTCGAATCTGAGCAGCACCCGAAATTCCCAACACGTTTTCGTGAAAAAATAAAAAATAGTGTGAAATGGTTTATTGACACCCAATTTATAAATAATTAAAAAAAATTTAATGAGAATTAATAAAAAAAAGTGAACAATGTAATTCCTTTTAACAATATTAAAAACTTTTAAATACATACATGAACATGTTATTGTTATAAATGTCAGCTTCATGTTCAATTTTCTCTATTCAACGAATTTTTCTCACTTCGATTCTAATTCGCAACCGATTTTCAGTATCATTAACATTGGGAAAAAAGTGCAGCTCAGGTTCGAAAAGGCTCAGGTGCGTCTCAGGTAATTATCCATTCCTTCTAATGTAGATTAGAAGAGGAAAAAAAATTATTACTGCTTCGAGCATATATAAATAAGCTCTCTCTCTATTTTGGAAAATAATATTCACCTTCTCATAAATTAAATGCATTTTACATTCTAAATCTGAAAATGATTAATTAGAATTTGGAAAAAAAAATGAGAGCTCTATTTTCATATGCATATTTTTAATTACGTAAGTTGACGAACTATTTATGATCATTTATACCCTTCAATACAATGAATTATATATAGAGAGAAAATTATAAATTATATATATTATAATTATATATATAAATTACATATAGATAAAATTAATTATGAGTATTTTATTCATATATAACTATAGTGTCACTAAAGTTATTGTAGTTTGTAAGCTCTCTTATTACTTTTTATTTTTATTCTTTTAATACTTTTGTTAAGTGCTACATTTCAGCCATTTACATGCTTTGAATCTGCATTTGGATCCAGAATCTGACAATAATTTATTTATTGCACTCAGATTTAGCGCGGGCTCTGCATTTTTTAGTGCAATTTTTAGGTAAGTTACCTCTATATTGTAATGGATTTAGATATTCCTATCTATTATTTTCAACAGGTTTTTGCTCATTATTATTAACATAAAGGGGGAAGGTTGGCTAGCCACAAAACATGCTCAGCCCTACTTTTTTTATATAAATTATTTTATATATAAGCTCTTCTAAGTCAGCAATGTTTATAATACTGAAGTATTGATTGGACGATTGCTCATATGTCCTTCATTGTGTGGTTTGCTTACTATCTATGTGTTTTTCGATTTTGATATTGCTGATGTTCATCTCTCGTTTGTAGAGAATTAGACTATATATATATATATTTATATATGATCTCTCTCTCTCTATCCTTTTGTTACCTTCTCTCTCTTTCATCAAGTTGTTTATTTTTAAAAAGTAGAAGTTAAAGTGTGTTTTTTTTAAAAAAGTTTAGGCTTGGATAATCCTCATCGATTTCCATCTAATATTCGGAGAATATAGCTATGAAAAGATTGAGTATATATTTATTAATGTCACACTAAAAAGCAACACGATTGCTATTGTTGACAGACCTAGTAATTTTGAACTTCGGTCAAGTGACGAGGACGACACCCGAGCTCTCTCCCCCTCTCCAAACTACCACACCACGCCAACTGAAGGACTTTGAGCGTCAAAAGATTTAACATGCATTATCCCACCTATATGATGATTCCTTAGTGTCACTAGGGCTCTAAAACTCATGGCACGCTGACCGCAAGTTTGTGACCATAATCGCTTGACTATCGCGGCCACTTAGTTATGAAAGGAAAAACAAGAATATATTAACGAGTTGTAATTTTTTTTTATTTGTTAAATATTGCATTGCTTAAAACATTTTTACAGCCAATAATTATTCAATGAAAAAGAAAAATAACATTAGAAATGATTTCGTACAATTTTATGCCAATCTCTTAAGGCTATTTTCGCCATATGTACAAGAGCGTGACTTTAGTGCGGAGCACAGTTTTGGACTGAAAAATGCTTCAATTTTTATAAAAATATGTGACATTGTAACTCATGCATTTGTTTATAGTAGAGTGTTTTTAAAACTAACTAAAACACATAACTAAAACATTTACAACTAAACAGTGCAAGAGGTATTTTTTCGTAGTAAATACAGAGTTTTGTGTTGTTAGCATTTTATTTATTATTTTTATTTTCTCTATAATCACAAGAGTAAAAATTATTTGATGGCACGTCTATATCTCATTAAACACTTCTTCAGGAAAAATGGCACGTTGATCTATAAAGGTTCGCCACCCCTGACATAGGAGAAAACATGCGAAACACATTTTATAAAAGTAAAAATGTGTCAACTCGTATAAAAATGAGTAGTATGATAAAATAAATGATTCTCTACAGGATAGAGTGAAGCCAGAATATAATATTAATGTTCGAGTACTTTTATATATGAAGAAATATTCATCATTTGAGTCCTTTTCTTTAACATTAGCCAAAAACAGCCTGAAGTGTAGATTTTGTGAAAACACATCGGATCTGTCCAGTAGCTCACACAGGAAATTTTCAGGGGGGGGGGGCCCCGGGGGCGAAAGTTCCCCATTTTTGTATCATGCTCCTTTTGATTTTGTCAATTTTCGGGAACAAAACACAGTAAAAATCTAATTATTGAATAAATAATTAGCATTAATTAATAAAATTAAACATTAATAACAAATATTTAATTAAGGTATCCGACTACGTTCGGAACCGTAATTTTAAAAAAAGCGCATAAATGGATAATTTTCATGATATTTAGTGTCACAGCTTAGAATACATGTATAAAATTGTTTTAAGGACATTATGACAAAAAAATTTATTTAAATACAATATTTCGGCAAAAAATTAACTTAGAACAACCTTTTTTCAAAATGTTCTCCTTTTGTGAAAAAGGCTTCCATTATAATAATATTTTTCCTGTATATAGTTCAGACCTCTGTACAGAGGCTCAACTATGATTTTTGAAAAATTCACATTATTTTCAGAGTTACCACCCATTGAAATAATTATCGGCGTTTTATTCTTAAAATTTCTCCCCTCTGTTGCCATAAAACATGGATAAACTTACTTCTAAGCTATATATTTCAAAAATTCTAGTTGAGCCTCTGTACAGAGGTCTGAGCTATATACAGGCAAAATATTATTATAATAGAAGCATTTTTCATAAAA